CCAAACGTAATCGGTCCGTGGTGTAAAAAAGGTTGGAGACCCCTGCTGTATATGACATACAAAAAGAAAGTCCACACCAAAGATCTCTCCTTTTTGAAAATCCTTGTCCAGTAATCAGCAAATAAATGACATACTTTACTTTAGGGTCAGCCTTATTTTATGAATCATGTCATGCTAATAATTTACCTAACTGTTGTTGTGTTATTAGCCGGTAAATTCATGCCGAAGGAGGAAGCCAAAGGAATCCACTGGATGACGTGGACCTGCGTTCTCGGACCGGAGGTCAACGGAATCTGGCCTAAATATTCCAGCGTCAACGACATCAATTCTGTGGACGCAAACTACAGCAGTGCAGTGCTGGTGACGGGCGACGACTTCGGCCTCGTCAAACTCTTCCGATTCCCTTGTCTTAAAAAAGGTCAGCTTGGTTTTGTGTCATCTGTTTCTGTGTGATCAGTGCTGAACAAACCAGTGTGCGCTAACAAATGTGATTCTTTCAGCTGCCAAATTCAAGAAATACATCGGCCACTCTGCCCATGTGACCAATGTGCGCTGGTCACATGACCTGCAGTGGGTTCTGAGCACGGGCGGAGCCGATCACTCCGTCTTCCAGTGGAGGTTTCTGCCCGAAGGAGTCATGAATGGAGTTGGAGCCGATCACTCTGTCTTCCAGTGGAGGTTTCTGCCGGAGGGAGTCATGAATGGAGTTCTGGAGCCGCTGCTGCAAGGTGATTCAATCCACCGATCCAGGGTTTCCATCATCAAATCAATTTAATTAAATAAGTACATCGAGGGAAGAGCGGCACTGTGTTCATTTACACGTGTTCAGAGTGGCTCGATTCACAGGCAATGCTGCTGGAGAAAGATTATTCTACAGGCTGCCAAGTAAAACCTTTTTCAGAAGGGTGAAGTGTGCCATTTTTAGTTAAGTCGGATGATAAAATACTTATTCCAGTTTATTGTGGGACATGAAAACCTGTTCGGAAACAGTCCGTATTTATGCATTACTGAAATTACTGGGTTTTCACAATCATGAAGCATATGGAAATGTCAGAATTTTAAATTGTGAAGAATTAATGAAGAATTTAACACATTGTAGTTTTGTAACTTAAATTAAAATGAATTACATAATATATATTATCATTTTAATATC